TCCCAGCATGGTAAATCGTCACATGTTCACGTCTTGCCGTGATACCGGGTTGAGGGAGACAGACACACAGACAAACAGACAAAACAAACAGGGGAAAAAGAAGGAGGAAGTACTGCAGATCCTCACAAGTACAGTGTCTCTATGCAGCATCATGAGGGGGTTCATGAATATAATATGCCCTCACTAGTGTTATAGTCAGAGCTGTATGACATTTGGCTAAATGTATTCAGTCATACAATGCATGAGGTGTTGGATGTAGTGTGAAACAAGACTATTTGGCATTTGAGGAAGCCTCTGTGGGCCTCCTCTTACCGAAAGGAGAGGAGAAAACTTCTGTCCCAGCACAATGCCGTTGCAGCGCCGTGCAGTATTGCCGATCACACAACAGTCCGGCCGGTTCACGGAAACACACGATTATGACGGAGAACGTTATATCCTGAAAGTTACATTTTTTTTTTTTTTTTTTTTTTTTTTTTTTTTTTTTTTTCGGTGCGTTACTTTAGAGCATTTTAAACACGCGATATGTAGGTAACCTTGCGCAACACGTGCTTTGTTGTTGAACGTTCATCGCAGTATTGATACATCAAAAAGAGGTGAAATCATGAACGTGTGGTTTTTTACTCGAAATGATCAAATAAGTCAACTTTCACTGCAGGGCTGCGCTGTGGGAGTTTGTTCAACTTTTAACACAAAGCGTGTATTTGATCGGTGATCATCCACTTGATGAGATTTTTAAGGACTAACGTTTAGATAATAATACATTTGTATTTTATTTTTAAGATTTTTCCATCACTCATACGTCATTGGACGATAATTTGTTTTAATGTGCGACCGGAGGGAGCAGGCGTGACGAGCTACATTTGCACTTTCCTTTTTATATTTCAATTACAACTCTTGGCTCACGAAAGAATGGAGTTTCTCTGATTGTCCGAGGGTTCGATGAAGCATAACACACAGCATCAGAGCACGGTGCAAGAGTCTCTAGCATGCGGTTTACAGTAGTCCTTGTTGCTATGGTGATACATCCATGTTGTAGTCCGTTGTATAGAACACTGTAGTTGCCATAGTTTCACCACAGCAGCAGACGCACACAATCATAAACACGTCAGTTAGTGAAAGTGCATTCGGATTCTCTAAAGTACCGCAGTCTCTTCTCCTAAGCCCTTTTGAATTCTCCTATCCACTATCCCTTAACCCCGTGACGTTTCACTCAGAGGTCAAGGAATAGGAGATAGGGTTAGAATTTAGGAGCTGATTTTTGGATTTATCGGAACGCAACCCGGGTTGTTGGTCTGGGCGTGGTTACCTACATTTCGATTCCCGCCATCTCACCTCCTCAGCTGCTGCTCATCTCACTGATTGCCACTACTCACCTGCACCTGTTTAAAAGGGTTGCCAACTCTCACGCATCTGGCGTGTGACTCTCAATCTCACGCTCTCACGCTGCCCAAACTATTCTCACGCCAAAAACAAGATGAACCGGCGATAATTTTTGGTTGGTTATTTACAATGTTGAGTTGATGCTCAAGCTGTCGATCCACTCGCTCCCCGCCCCCACCACTCTTAACAACGTTAACAGACAGCAGAGCAGTGGTAGCCGGTTGGTCAATCCCCGACCCGTATTGCGCATGCGTAGATCTAAGATCCAGTAGAAATGATAAAGAAGTAAAAGTCTGCTGCTTATTGTTCTACTAGGCCAAAATAGAGTCAAAGAGTATATGAGAGTGAGAGTGTGTTAATTAATATATTTGGCAGTTTGGAGTAAGTCTGTAGATTTGTTTGTGTGTGTGTGTGTTTCATGTAGGCCTATAGGCTTCTCACGATAATTAATTTTGTTGGATACATTTTCCCGGAAATTATTGCGATAAACGATAATATTGTCGGCACCGTTGTATGACCATTTTAGACCACTGACATAATCATAATATATAATAATAATAATTCAAATACATCCTTTCAAACTGCTAGTCACATCCTCATGTAAATGGCAATTTATCGAGGTCAGAAAAGTTATCGAGTTCATTTTTATCTATCAAACGATAAGTCAATTAATTGCTTATCGCGACAGACCTATGCACACAATAAAACAGTGGAAACAAACATGTGTTTGACTTTCATTAGTGAATGAAACTTTGTGCCCTTTATAGTCTGTGTCCAATATTTTATATTGTATATCCTATGCTAAGGTCCCGCTACTGACACAATAGCAGTCATTGAGTTCGCATATGTGTAATTAAACCCATGATATCAAAATCTCACTCCAGCCAGGTACCCAAAGTTGGCAACCCTGTTAAAACCCTGGTTCCCATCCTCAGACTTCGCCAGTTCTTCGTTTAATCTTCAGTGTTAAACTATCGTCCAGGCCTACTAGTGGTTTTTCCTAGTGACTTTTCGATGCTCCTTGTGAAAGGAAATTATTTCCTAATCCTGCTTGTTTTTCCTGTTCCAGATCCACATACTCCAGTCTCTCTGCCTGCAACGTCCAGCCTCCCCCTCCTGATCAGCCCAGCTCCACGTCTTCCCTCTACGTGTGCTTCGTCAACTCCTTATCAGTGTCGTGGAAAACATAAAGCCTTTTTTTGACACTTCACCACTGTCTCTGTTTTAGTGCTTGCATAGCGGGTTCTCATCTCCAGTCACTTCTCGGGAAACCTAACAGTAGGCCTACTCACAATGGGCTTCATAATCGCAGTGTCAGTGCACTTTAGCATTAGTCAGTTCAAAAAAAGTTTCATTATATTCATCCCAGGGAGAATAAGACTTGAGAGAAAGGGAGGGGGATGCCGAGAGCAAATGTATTCACAACAGACAGATGGAGAGTTAAAATCTAAGCTCCCCGGGTGGTCTCCCATTGCTTCTTCCCATATTGGGTGATGCAAACGTACAGTAATAAACAAAATTATTAGCAGCGAGCAGGTGGGGGATAAGCGACTACACACACATCACCATATGATGAAACACACACAGATTTATTCTTGTCAGGACATTTAAGTCACTTGTATTAATGTCCAGGCTGCTTTATTGTTGCCAAACTGGCCTAATATTTAAGCAAATATTGCTTTTAACAAACAAAAAAACTAAAGTGTTTAAATCGACTATCAAAACAAATCCTACCACTTGAAGAAAATTCCAGCTCGAGTGAACTATGGATTATAAATGATTTGCATTTGCAAAAACACATATGCTCACAGTGGCAGAAAAAGAGAGACGGAGAGATGGTTAAACATCCTGAATAAAGCCATGATAAAATGGTGAATCTCCACACACTATTTGAGATCAAACCAAGCCAGTCATTGGCTTAAAATAAGTTCTGAAACATTTTTCTTGTCAAATTACGAAGGCTGTCTACACTCCATCTCTCTGGCTTTTCAAGGGAACCACACCAATGACCATATAAAACGGCTAAATAATTTAGATTAAAAAATTACTTTAGAATAGACAATATCAAATATTAACTCCACGTAATTCATTTTACTCCTCTGCTCCACCATGAGGTCCTCGTCTAAGGATCGCATATTGACAGCTCGGATGAATTAAAATGATGGAGGACTCATGAGGCAATGCCAAAAAATCATGATGTGATCTTCATGTCCAATTTACACAGAGATCGTGCGCAATTAAAATGGTCACAAACTGTGTATAACCCCAAATGACTGCATGATTTATTTAAAGGAGTCCTGTAGAGGGCGCCAAAACTGCAGTCCCTTCTCCAGCTGATCTCCAGCTGCTTATAAAGAAGAGGCCCTCTAAGGACACTGTCTGCTTCAAAAAGTACTTATTTTCTTTCGCAGCATGAAATACAGTTGTTTTGAACTTGATTTAAAGAAAAAAACAGAACAGAGGTGAATAATATTTTACTTCGATTTCAGTGTCAACATACCATAAAACAATCTAGATATATTTGACCTATGGAGCATTTACATTACATGTTAGACGCTTTTATCCAAAGCGACTTACATACTCAATACTGTGGACAATCCCCACATGAGCAATTTGGGGTGAAGTGTCTTGCCCAGGGACACAATGTCATTTTTGTCGGCTTTTTTTTTTAACCTGTGCTCCCTTGATCCGAACACCAACGCTCCACTGCGCCAGACGCCTCCTACTTACTGAATTAACATTTACTGCATCAAACAACAAGGCCTTGAAAATAAAATGTACATCACCGGGACATCTCTTTTTATTTTGAACACTGTATATTTTATTTAAAAATCTTGAAGTTCATCCCCATTTGTGAAGTATAACATGTGCTGCTTCGTTTGTCAGAATACTACACCAATTATACAATTTTATTGGATTTTTGTGTTGCTAGGAAACAACTATCGTCCAACTTGGTAATTAATTAAATATATGTTTTAGGGAGCCATATATAGTGTGAATATTTTACCTTGTAAAACTATTTATATTACAAAATAGTTCAAACAGAATTGAAGTTGAAGCATTTACAATATAATGATTATTTTCATTTGAAATGATCCATATGCCCATAAGTTAGTAGTACTGTGAGGGAAATAATGAGCTGAAACCTGTGGTCAAAAACATTTTTAATTGGGATATTTTTAGTTTGAAATCAAATGTAACAAGGGGTTTTTCAGATTTTCCAGGAGCCCACTGGAACTGCCACTAGGACACCCCGAGGGCCTACTGGGACCCCATTGGGCATCCAGTTTTTCAACTCTTTTAAAGTTATGCATTATCCAAAAACATGTAGGTGTGTTGCAGCAGCAGTGTGTGCTTGGTAAACTAACATAGACATCTCACTGTGTCACGCCAAACAAGTCTGAGGTGGGAGATCAATGTTACATGACATCACATCCCTTCTATCTGATAAAGAATGCGAGGTGAAACATGGGCAGGCAGCGGTAGACTCTTGCTTTTGATTGCAAAGGTCTGTCAAAGCTAGATCTCCTGAATTCCAATGGTCCATCTCTCTCTCTCTCTCCCTCCCTCTCTCCCTCCCTCCCTCCCTCTCTCCCTCTCTCTCAGCATCCAGCAGCTGCGCCTCTCATGCCTTTCCCGACGCTGAGCGAAGCCTCCCATACAGATGAGCGCTGGAAGCCACGCACCTCTTGACGTAGCCACAGACCGGTTGCGGTGCCACTCGGTCTCCGTAGCACGTATTTGCGCAACGTGACCGATGCTCAACTTGCTCAACTGGCTCCACGGCAGGCACATCCGGCTCCCACCGTCTCGTGAATTCACTCGAAAAAAGTGCTATCATAACGCCGAGGAAAAAAGCTAGAATCTCCGAGGTGCTGTGGAGGGAAAAAAACCCTCCGCCGCTTCTCTCCTCAGACCGGACTGGACCTTCCCCTTGTCGCCGCCGCCGGTAGACATAAGTCGGGGTGCAGTCGTGATGTGACTGCATGAACGCACTCCACTTTAGTATCTGCAACAGCAGCTTTGACGACCGCCCAGAAGGTGAAAACAGTGCCAGCGTCAGTGTTTTGGTGAAGCGGAGGTGATGGCTTCGTTTGACAGCATGCAGTCCACGCAGAAGCAGCTTCCGTGACAACAGCTGGATTTGTAGGGAGCTATGTCCCCGGGCACCGAGGCTCCGTCCGCCTGTGATAGTCGACAGCATCAGTGTGCCCCCTCGGTTTGGCGCTTCGAGAGTCTTCGCTAAAGTCCACGCGCACGCTACCTGGAGTCGAGGAGAGGTTGCTGTTTGTTGAAAGGCCGGGCTCTCTGCAGCCCACAACCCCGCATCCTCCGCGGCGTTTCTCCGCGTTTTTCATGGCGGTGGATATCAGAGCAACCGCTACCTGAGCTTGATCTCCAACCGCGGCCATACATACCTTTACAGCTAATACTGAGACTTAATTAATCGACGCGTGGATCGCAGCGGTGCTGTGTCTATGTGCCTCAGTCACACCACCCCGGAAAGGACTTCTTGCCATTGAGAGCTGGATATGCAGAGATTAACGTGAGAGGATGGATCTAATTATCTGTGTTTTGGGGCTGCTGGCGCTGGCCGTGGAGGGCATCCGTTGCCAAGGAGTGTATGGTGAGTGTATGCAAAATTCAAACGTGATCATGACCTTGTAAAAACTAGTGGTGGCTCATAAATCGCCACTCATTCCCATTGGACTCATAAAGGTCCTGTGATAAATAAAATTCAACTCGTGTTAGGCTGACAAACCAGGTCTGAATGTCATGTTTGAGTGAGAGCCTCCAAATGTTCCCACCAACCCTGAGTTTATACAGCAAATCGCATGGGCAGCCAATCATGCACAGCCCCCTTTTCTCATCCAATCCATCACTCATGATAGTGCTAGATTTGTGTTGGCTATATTCATATAATATAACATGGGGACCTCTCAGGCTGCTAGCCTACATGTCATTTTGAAATGACCATTCAAAACGTGGCATACATGTGTTTTAAAATGTCACCAAGAGGACAGTAATCTGTTGAGCAGCGGCGTTTAGTATGCACAGTCATGAATTATCTTCATGTGTGGTGGTTCTATCCGCCTACCTCTTCCTTATGTCAGTCAGTCTGTATCTCTCTCTCCCTCCCATGCACACACACATACGCACACACATTTCTGTCTCCTACCCTGTCTGCTAGTGCAACCAGTGGCACAGATGATGTCTCATATTAATCGTCATCCTTGCAGCAGCAGCAGTATGAGGAAGTAATGATTCATGTGCAGTTATATCCGGACATGGAGGAAACCTTGAGGTGCACATCTCCGACCTGTCTGTGTTGACAGCGGCTCTCAGCATAGCAGAAGTTGTGCAGGGAGAATGCGAGGTCAAGTTGAGAGGTGCGATTACATTTGAGAGGCTGTTGCCAAGCACCATAACATATCTTTGTCGCTATCTTGTGTGTGCAGAGATGATGCGTCAGGATTGTATCTATTATTTTGCTCTGGAGCAGGAGTCTCACTGTTATACACTTGAAGGGGTCTTCAGGGCCAGGAAGTGGGGGGGGGGGGCACTGCTGTTATTGACATCTCATATAAAGGCCACTTCAACGATGAAGTGCCACAAGTAACACAACATTTGGGAGAATTTTCTTTTACATTTCCATTACTAACATCTTATCGGCAGTTTTTTAAACAACATTTGCCCAAAGTGGCCTGCTCTTAGACCCCTGTGCTCAATGGAAGATACATTATTTAATCACAGCACATGCCAGGGCAGCGATTGCATAACCGCTCTCTCATGTATGTGCAATGATAGCCGTATTTCTCCTCCTAACACCTGTTGCAGATGTATCTCACAATGCCTAAAAATGCGATTTTTACTCAAGTTTTCAAACTCTCTAAGCCCTCATTAGGCAGTGTTAGATTCCTACGTGGGTGTGTTGTTGTTTAGAGTTAGTGAATCCACTAGCCTGAGGGCATAACCTCTTATCCAACATTGATGTCTCAAGACGGCATTGCCTTGACTTGATTCGATATTCGCATCTACTAAAACAGTCTCTCGGAGATACACATATATTCAGGGGAGACGAGCATGACGTTAACCATCAATACTGATCACATGAATGTCAGATCAAAGCTGTGGATCCTTGGTGCAAGCCGGCTCTCCATGCTAAAGCGTGTGGGTGCAGATGAAGATGCAAGCTCATTAGAAGGAATCATATCCCATAATGCTCGTTGTGGTGTTGCCATAGAGGCATGTGTGGACTAGTGGGCTTAGCAGCAGTCGAGACGGGGCGGTGTAGCAGATGGAATTGTTTGAAATTCAGCTGTCTGTGTTTGCATATACATGATGATGTTCAGCATGAAAATTCCCATGAGCACAGTCACCCCCATTTCCCTATCACTACAGTGACTAACTTATTCTACAGTGTGTTGAGACTTACATTTGTCCTTATTTCCTTGGTGCTTTAACTGGCACTGCTAAAGGGAAATTGCTTAGATACAAGCAGATATATAAACATTTATATACTCAACCTTGAATATAAAATCCCTTTAATTGGCAAAGAGCCATTGGGTAGGTCCTCTACATGCCTCATGTTTAAAGCGTACTGCGTCTCCAGAGGGGTGCCCTGAGTAAAAATTAATTGGCAAGGTTCAAAAGTCAACATTTATTATTGATACATTGAAAACATTAACATGCAAGTTGGGTTTTCGTCCGTTGTATTCACTGAAGGTTTTGACACAAGAAGGAGGGGGAGGCGAGAGAAGGGGGTCAAGGAAATGGAGTATTCTGCACCGCATGTAATAAAAAAGGCAGTATGTGGTTGAATAAAAATGAGGGCTGTGAGAGGATAACATGTTATGGTGGCAGTAACTTTGAAGTGGTAGAGTTTCATACTTTTATAGAGGGCAAGGCCTGAATGTTTTACTTTGGTCTTACTTTGAAATGAGGTATGTTTTTTTTCTTTGTTATCTCACAGTCAAATCAATTTCAATAATAGTTATTCACACTGTTTTTTTATCACCCGATTCCATCTCTTTTTTGTGGTGCGTTCAAAGCCTCAGCAATCACTTTCCTTCCCTGGATTGCAAAATGACCCAAAAGCAGATGAATAGGGCAGTTAGCGAAAAATAGACTTTTCTCAACGATTATTTTTATCCCCTAGAATCGGCAACCGCCATTGTTGCGGACCAAATGGTGGAATCATGATGTAATAATGAAGAAATCACATACTAGTGCGTTAAGTGGTGCTGCCAGAGTCATTAAAGAGGATTGATGAAGGCTAGTCATCCCTCCATGACTCCAGGCCACAGAGGGAAAAAGAGAGACACCACTAAAGTACAACATCTGCTCCACTCTTTCTCCCCTCTTTTTTTCCAGTCTCTCTCTTTCCTCATCACTTTTACACACACACAAGCGCACTCACACCCTCCACCAGGAGATTGCTCTATTACTCGACCGCTGCTCATCTCCGCCTTGCTCTCCAGAGCTCCAATCGTTCAGTTGCTGCTCTTCTGCCGCAGCAAATGAAAGCACATACAAACCTGGCAAATGATCTCAACTGGCAATTATCTGATAAAACAATTACCAATGTTTGTTTACGACCCAACTGCCCTCAATAATGGTATTAAACCGCATCAATGGAACATGACACTTATGGTAGCATGGAAACGTTTCTTGCTTTATCTGGAGAGCACCGCCTTCAGTATGTTCTCTTTGCATCTAAGTCACTCGGCGACAACCTCCATGGGATGCACGGATGTTCCTGATCTCGTTTTATCTCGTGTTAAGAGAAAAAGTTCCTACTGCTCTCTCTCCCAACCCACTTCTCCATCTCTCTCTTTGCCTCTCTCTTTCTTTCTCTCTCCCTCTCGTTTGCATTGAAGTCCAAGCAATTGCTGGGGTTTCTTTTCATGAGCCCCGGTTCAGTCGCTTTGGCTTCTAAGCTATGCAAATGCATTCTGCCAGTGAAACTAAAGCCGTCTTTGTTGGTTCTCAGAGGCCTCCTCCACAGAGTCCTTCATCATTCCCTTGGATCGGGACCCTCACATTTCCCACCATAATGAGACCGCGGAAAACTCTATCTCTTCTCCACCCTCCCACTCTCAGCCCCCACCTCCCTGCCGGTCTCTCTGCTCTGCCCGTCTCTCTCTCTCTCTCCGTTCCCGCGGGGAAAAGCGGAGGGACGTTTACAGTATGCGCTTCAATCAGAGGCAAAGGAGGACGGAAAGCTGGGTACGGTGCCACCAGAGGAAGTAATTTCTTGCAGTAGAGGAGAAGAAGGGGGCTTCAGATAGCACCAACTTAATCATACCCAATGTCAGTTCTCTTAGGACCGAGTCCACTGAGACCGCCGCTGAGTATACACCGCAGAGACAATGTTTCGACTTTTAAGTCTGCGCACTCCTGCTGTTCTCATTATTCATCGGATAATCGTTTACATTCTTACTTTAATACTTTAGTACAATGCGATCAAGAAGAAACCGATGTTTTTAAAGTGTGGTGAATTCGGGAAATCAGACGTAGAGTATGCTAAAAGTTCAAAATAAGTTTAGTATAGCCCTTTTTAATTGTTATGGTCAAATTGAGTCAGATGTGTAGTGCTTTGTTTGAATCCTCCTTTTCCCATAATACAGCCAAAGCATAATTAAATGTAACACTTCCTGCCTGCCTAAGCCCTATCTTTTAAACTTCATAGTATTATAAACTGTGATCTTCCAGTCAAAATTGCGATAATTCTGAAGACATCACTGCGACACAAGCTGAGTCATACTTCTCATTTGTGTAAAATCACTGAAAGCGCCTTCTCAATTTCATCTCTGTGACTTCTTGTTTAGCTATGAGGTAGTGTTGCCCATGTTAATGTGAGGTGTGTGTCGGTGTGACTCTCCACTGGAAGGATGCCACTCTCAGTTCTGCCCTCTCTTTGCCCCCTTTAGCTACTTTGGAACATTTTGCTGTGTATAGTGTGGTAGTAAAACAAAAAAGGATCAGAAACATGTAGCTTTAATTTGTATGGTTACTACTGCAATGCAAATATTCCATTGCTGTTCACTTATGCAGAGTTTAAAGCAAAGATACAGTTGTGCACACCTGTGAAGAACGGAATATATATATATATATATATATATATATATATTATTTATGATTTCTGTTCAAAACTATTAAAAAGGATTGTAATGTAGCTCTGGCTACTTTTCACATGTCATAAACAGCTGAAATACTTTCCTACTGTGAGGATTTGGATGAGTTCATGAACACAATTTACCTCTGGATCACTCTAGGCCAAATCCCCACCGCGGACCAAAGAAGCTTATTGTAACCTGGCTGGCTGCTTCAACTGTTAAGCCCACATCCCAAAACCCTGAGCTACGTGTGCTGCTCTGTACAGTGCTGGGCACAGAGAGCTGCTGCTAATGATCTTGTAGCCATTCATTCATTAAGTCCTGTCCCGGTGCACGACTATACCGGCCTCACGCCCCGCTTTATTTAGAATCTGTTCTTTAAATTAAGTCCAGTAACTGATATTCTTCCCTTTGTCTTCTGACGTTCTAATGAAGTGGCCATTCATCATTCAAAACAAGATTTGAATCCTAAATGGCAACCTTGGTCCTGCTAATATTGCTTAGAAGA